TGGTGGTAATCTAGTAATCCAATGATCAAGCCAAAATTTGACCTGCCTACCATCAACAATCCTCCATATCGGATTAGACTTAAAATTATACCATACAATGCACATTCTAACAAAGTTATGGAAAAAGAATCGTGTGTGTCATTCTATTGATCAATAGGTAATTATATACAAGTATATGACAACTACAGATCTTAAACTACAGGCTAAATTATCTCCCTCATATCCTTGATATGATTTGGCATTATTCTGCAATAAAGGAGAATTAAAACAAACAAAATGTAACGGACAAAATGTGTGCCAAAATTAATTATTCCAATTGATGAAATAATCCCAAGAATTGTGCATGAGAGCATAACCCGTATAGCATATCCCATATTACCCCCCTCAAGGTGGAGCATGAGGATTACGAATGCCCAGCTTGTTAAGCAGAGTTTGAAATTGATGTCGTCCTAAGGCTTTTGTAAGGATGTCGGCAAGTTTCTCTGGTTGAATGGTGCCTTGGAGTATCTCATTACGAATGAAATGATAATCCACTTCAATATGCTTTGTCCGTTCATGGAAAACTGGATTTTTCGCTATATGTAAAGCAGCCTAACTATCACAGTGGAGGTGCATAGGTCCTTTATGAGAAATGCCTCAATCAGCCAGTAAACTACGAAGCCACTTAAGTTCACAACAAGTAGTAGCCATACAACGGTACTCTGCTTCTGCGGATGAACGAGATATAGTATGTTGTTTCTTGGTTTTCCAAGATATAGGAGAGTGACCCAAGAACAAAAACCACCCAGTAGTTGAACACCGAGTTAATGGACATCCGACCCAGTCAGAACCATCCATGCAGTTGGAAATCAGATGTGCTTTTAAGGAGAATTCCTTGCTCAGGACTTCCTTTGAGGTATCTCACAATTCGAATGACTGCATTCCAATGTTCTTCACGCGGTTGTTGCATGAATTGCAACATGGTATGGACACAGTAGGACAATTTTGGTCTGGTGAAGCACAAGTATATGAGGCGCCCAACAAGGCGTTGGTACCTGTTAGGTTGATCAATGTAGCGTCCAATGGCTAGTCCAAGTTGATGATTCTGGTCAAGAGGTGTAGCCACGGGCTGTGCACCAATTAGGCCTGCTTCTTGAGTGATGTCTAATGCATATTTACGCTGACACAAAAATATTCCACTTGAATTCCTTGCAACTTCTACTCCCAAAAAATATTTTAAATGTCCCAAGTCTTTCATGTGAAAGCACTTACTAATATATTCTTTAAAGTGTTGAATTGCAACGGAATCGTTCTCACATATGATCAAATCGTCTACATATACCAGAACCATCATTAGAAAATTCTTCATAGCTTTCTCTTGTAGTTGCAACACCAATAGATAAAAGACTATCGTGATGATAACGTGTTATAAAAGAGAGAAAAAGTAGAGAGAATAAATAAGACAGTATGAGATAAAGAAAAGATTCTGACTGGTGTATTATCTTTGGGAGAGGAGTAACCTATTTATAACTACATGTGGTAACTGAACAATTACACAATAAAGGGAATAATACATAACGGACATATAAATGGTAATGATTGATAATGAATATTGGCATCCACTAATTAAGCCACTAATTATTATTCATAACAGTTTTTAAATTATCTCAATTGACATTTGATAAAAACGAGTACTAATAACACCCTTTAATATACTTTTTAAATATACTCTACGAATAAAATTTATTAAAAACTATACAACTATAAATAAGACTTATTAAATAAGAAATATGACTTGTACAATTTTATTATTTCAATTATTAAAAAATACACTCAAAAGAGTAAGAAGATATATTGCTAGTTATTTTTCTTGAAAAAAGAGTGAGAGAGAGAGATTGTTCAAGTTTTTGTAACTAACATGAAACACTTCTCTAGGTTTTTTTTTTAACTAATGTAATTAGGACATTTAATTCATGAGGACTCTAAAATATTTTCACAAGCTTCGATCCTTACTCCTTTGGGCTAACTATACTAATCTTTAGTTCAAATTTCAGTCACACTTAAAAGAGCACTAAAGATAAAAGAAGTACTCCTTCACAAACTGAATATGTGTTTCCTGTTGAGCTATATCAATCACGTAAAAGAGACCCTCCCCCAGTATTCAGCAATAAATAAATAAATAAATCCTCCCCGAGTCTTTTAAAGTTTTAAGTTACTTTTAGGTGAAAAAAATTGAAATTTAAATGATTATACGAGCATTTTAAAAATGATTAAGTAAAACTTGCAGAGTGTAAAGTTTTTTAACATTCATCAACTATTACAAGCTTAGTCACTTTTATAATTGTCACCTCAAAAACAACTTTTGATTGGTTTACTTAGTGAAAACTTTTATACTGACGCCTTTCAAAAATATAGTTGAAAGCAAAATTATTGTATCATCGATTCCCATGACTTGCTTTGGTTATCAAATTCCAGAGCCGCTGAGGAAGTAATGTTAAATGTAGGCATGTAGCACTTTATATTATTCAAATTCCTCTGCTCCACTTCCAGTTCCAGAGGGGCCTGTCCTCCGCTGTCCACTCACCACTGCTTCCAAAGACTTGGTCGTGGATGCAGCGTCAGCAAACTTGTTGTCTTGAGTTTACTAATGATTTCAGTGATGTGCTTACTGAATGAATCAGGCTACACATTCTGGCAAAAAAAAACGCATAATGGAACCGTACTGCAATTACATCTCATTCGGTGCAGTCAAACGGCAGTTTATTCCTCAAGGGGAGCAGGAGAAAGAAGACGCTAATTTAAATATCATGACCGCTAAATTTTACTGACTGATAAAGCTTGACATGAAAGATTTGTTGAATAAATACTCATTGCTACATCTATGAAATACAGGATTCAAGATAGTCCCTTTCCCCAAAAATTTCACCTATGAATACACCACAAGATGAGAGAGTTCTATAGGGCTCCCACAAATCACAGCGTATTAATTCAAAACTATCACCAACATTATTTTTACTTAATGGAAAGACATCTCTAGCTTGCTTAGCCCGTAAACATACATGGTTTGTTCTTCAAAATACCGCTATCACACCTCATGTTAGAAGCCAATTTAGTGACCTTGAAAGAAGGGTGCCCCATGCGTTGATGCCACAGATTAAGTTCGCAAGTTCCATTAGCTTTGTGTGCTTTCTCACTTCGGATTCCTTTAAAGAAGTAAAGCCTATCTCGTTGTTCACTCACTCCAATAAGCATCTTCGAAGTGCAATCCTGCATAACACATAAGTTGTTAGTGAAATAGACAACACAATTTGTTTCATTTGTCAATTAAGAAATAGAAAACAGGTTGCAACTCAATGTTGGCACATAAAACACATTTTCCACATTCAATCCTCCATCAAGTGTCACTGTCCCTTTCCCTTCTTTATTTGCCATTAGTTGTTTTCCATCTGGAAGTCTCGCTAGACACCCAACTACGTCTCTCAGCCCACATAATAAACTCAAGTTTCTTGTCATGTGGCTAGAGACACCTGTGTCTATGATCCATTCACTATGTTTATCTGTTATTTTGTCACTTGTGGTTCTTTTGTGATTGTTCAACAAATTCTTTAGAGTTTGTCATTGCTCATAACTCAGTCCACTCAATGCATTTACATTAGTCCCATTTGTTTCTCCATTCACTTGCATGCAATCAAATTTCCTAAATTATCGTTTGCATGCAAGTCATATGGTGAAGGTATCTTTTTCACCAATTCGGTCTTCTTCTCGATCTCAGCTTTATCCATGAGGAGAGTTTTGTCACACATTCTCACCGAGACTTTGTACGCTCTGATACCATAACAAAGTTATAGAAAAAGAATCGTGTGTATCATTCTATTGATCATATACAAGTATATGACACCTACAGATCTTAAACTACAGGCTAAATTATCTCCCTCGTATCCTTGATATGATTTGACATTATTCTGCAATAAAAGAGAATTAAAACGGACAAAATGTAACGGACAAAATATACGCCAAATTAATTATTCCAATTGATGAAATAATCCCAAGAATTATGCATGAGGACATAGTATATCCCATATTACATTCCTTTCCATATAGATCTCTAATTGTGTATTAACAACTAGATTAATCGTGAAATATAGTATCTTTAAAAATAGTTTCTAAAAGAATTAAATTTTATGATCTTATTATTTTTTTTCCATATATATATATATATATATTCTTTTGAGATAATATTATTCAAGATATAATTGGTAAAGGTAGACAACAATTTTAACGAACATTTAAACCTTCATTCACCATAAAAACTAATCCTTTAATTAGACTTGATTAACCCTAACAGAAAAGATTTTTGCTTATAAAAACTGGATCAAAACTAAAATTTTATTTCAATTATGTTAGGCTATAGTGACATTTCACTTTTGATCGCCTAATGTGCTTCTTATCCTATCTTAAGTGTGACATAAAATTATGATAAACTGCGTTATAAAAAATAAATGAAAATTATAAACTAATGACAATATTTTGATTTTTAAATACATTAATTATTAGTCAATACTTGATACTAAATTTTACATTTAAATTAAAAAAAAGTTAATGCCTTAAATATTTTTTTTTCAATTACGTTTTAAAACTAAATGTTTGACCGTGAAAGTCACACTCTTGAATGTAAATTAATTCATAATTATCAACTTTAGAATACTATGTGAATCATATTTATGTTTATGAAAAAAAAAAGCACAAAATTGTGTATCTTTATCCACATAATTGTTTAGGCTTTTATTTCACAGTGAAAAATTATTTTTTGTACTTTTCAATAAATAAATTAAAAAAAAAATGTTCCAATATAAATTTTATATTTGACATTATTTTAGACAGTAATATTAAACGAGTAAATTATTCCTGTTAAATTCAATAAACAGATTCTAAAAGTAGATCATAATTGATCATAATCTGTAAACGGATAAATTTTAAAATAAAGGTGGATAAATAACGTAATATAAACGGATATATTTGTGGTTAAAAATGAAGTTGGAGAAGGGAAGGTTGAAAATTTGAAATAGGAGTAATGGAACAGGAAGAAGAAGTGCGTATGCGAAAAGCATATTTTGGTGTAAAAGATAGACTAAACATTACAAAAGCTTTTGTTGTACAAGCTAGAACTAGAAGTTGAAAAGAGTGAAATTTCTACGAAAAGTACATTCTATGGTTATTAGCATAGTGAATTAATATATGTAAGAATTAATCATCAAAGTCATCGGTCCGACCAAAGGCTCCAAGATCCTCCTTCATTGTTATAGTTGAATGTTGAACTAATCGTACCAAAGCCTGGACTAACTCTGACACAGGTGGCCGAAATTCAGGCTCAGTCTGTAAGAATATGAAAAGGCATGTTATGTTATGTTATGTTACGTCAAGTTATGTTTAATGATATCGATCATAAGTATAAGTGACCTGGACACAGAGGGCGATGATATCAGCAAATCGTAAGAGATGTTACGTCAAGTTATGTTTAATGATATCGATCATAAGTATAAGTGACCTGGACACAGAGGGCGATGATATCAGCAAATCGGAAGAGTGACTTAGGAGGGTAAAGACCCCGCAAGGCAGGGTCAACCATTTTCTCCACCGCAATAACGTCATGAAGTAGTGGGGTGGCCCAACGAACCAGACATTGTTCTGCTTTTGGCTTTGAACTAACAACATACATGAAAACTCAGTTATGTTATCACTTATGGAATATATATTGCAATCGTCGTACAATACCTGTCAAAAGGCATTCGACCTGTCAAAAGCTCCAGCATTACTACCCCGAAACTGTATACATCACTCTTCTGGGTAAACGCTGAAGGTTGTGTGCATTCTGGTGCATTATATCCTGCCCCAAGATTTTGGCTAGTACGCTACCAACAAATAACACTCATTATCAACACCACAATAATCAATTGCATTAGTAAAGAGAAGGAGCCTAAATCAAGAAATTAAAACCTGGTGGAAGGATGCCAAACCATAATCTGCGAGACGAGGATTCAGATCCGTGTCAAGCAAAATATTGGAGGACTTAATATTCTTGTGCAATAAAGGAGGAGAGCAAATTTCATGTAGGTACCTGAAAATTAAGATTAAAAGAAAATTATACTACATATGTTGACTGCTGGTACTATGAGAAAATGCAAGAGATTCAGACTAACTCAACAGCCCGAGCTGTTCCCAATGCAATTCTGACTCTGGTGTTCCAAGTTAGTGGTTTGCTGAAGTCGTCTGATAAGTGTAAAAAGTGATGGAGAGAGCCATTTCTGAAATAATCATACATTAACATGTGCTCTTGTTCTGAACAATAACCGACAAGCTCAACAATATTTGGGTGGTGAATTCTGCTTATGTTTGTAACAATGTGAGAGAATTCCTCAGGAGGACCACCATTGAAAAGAGAAGATTTGATTTGTTTTACAGCCAATACCTGATAAACACCAACATAGGTATTTGCATTATGAAAATTTCATGCACATACAGAATGTACGTACGTACCTTTCCATCAGCATATTTAGCCCGATATACACGTCCTATGGATCCTTCACCAAGAAGTCGGCCTGAAGCAAAATTAGCAGTAGCAGCCTGCAACTCTTGCAGTGAAAAACTAGTAACACGGCTTGATGCACTTCTTTTAGAATTTAGACGAAGTGCAAACTCATTGTCATTAAAGGATTGCACACAATCCGAGACTGACGAACTCACACCAATTGATGGAGATTTTTGCAAAGCCTGTACGTCTATTGAAGTCGAATCCATTGACTTAAATCCTGTCACCAATATGCCAACTGAAATCAATTAATTGGAAAATCACTTCAACTTCAATAACACAAGCTATTGCAAAACCACCTTTGTTGACATCATCTCTTGGTAACTCCTGAGATGTAAAAGATTTATGCTTGCTACGCCCCTCTTCTTCGATATAATGTGAAGAAGGTCTTGATGACCTTCTCTTACAAAGAGCAACAGCAATTATAATTACTACTAGTATGCCAAAAGCTATGCCTGCTATAGCTACTCCACTGAGAACAGATTTTTTCTTCTTTTTCTCCGAATGCTTCTTCAGAGGGGGAGTACCAGGAGGCGGAGGAGGTGCTGAACCCTTTGACCAAGAATTTCCTCCAGTTCTTTGGAGTTAACAACGCAAAGTTAGAGAAACAACCTAAGTACCACAACATCCTTCAATAAATGAGTGCTAAAAAATACTTACTGCAAGTTATTTATATCCTTTAACTCCTCAGGGACCCAACCGGTAAATTTGTTGTTTTCAACGTTCCTGTTAAAATTAAAATAGCTACTATTTGTTACTATCTCGGTACAGTAAATCCAATTCACTGTCGAATTCAGGTACATCAGTTCTTCAGGTACTTCACTACTAATTCACTTTTTCAAAACTAAATAATTCATCATTAATATTTTTTGTCTTCACCAAAGTGATTCATAATTTTACTACACAGCGTTGACATTTTACTTCCTCATAATGAAAGGCATTGCTCATGGTATTTTGCAAATAACGGAAATGGAATGAATAGGTGACCACGTTGTCATATATAAATATGATATATATGCATATCTAGATGATCCTAGAAATAGTGCACTGCAAACATTGACACAAATATATTAAACATTTTATAAAGGGGATGGAAAATCTTTCCATGCGCAAGGTGGGCAAACATGAACTTACAAATCTTCAAGTGGAAGTTTGGCAAGGACATTTACTGAACCAGTGAATTGATTGTTTTGTAGATGCCTGTACAAGGACAAACAGAAGTTTACAGTGAAGATGCGTGTGTATATTATACCCTGATAGTGCTAATGATTGTGTTCTTACAACTTCTTGAGGTTTTTGAGTGATTTGAGACTCTGAGGTAGGTTTCCCGATAGTGAATTGAATGATACATCCCTGCATGTTATTCAATTATAAAAGGTTAATAAAATTTTGGCTTAATTGCTTTTTTATCAATGATAAAAGGTTAATAAAATCTTGACTTAATTACTTTTTTATCCTTTTAATATTATAGTTGTACGATTTTGGTTCCTAAGATTTTAAATAAGGAACTTTAGTATTTCAAGTATTATAATTATGTGATTTTGTATTTCAAATTTTAATTAGGTAATTTTAATTTTTAAGTATTGTAATTATACTATTTTTTTAATGACTTGTTGCATCAACATAGAGGGGAGAAATCCTCAAAAGCTCAATATAACAATGGATTCAAATGAAAAAAATTGGAAATGAGAGGGGTTTCCATTACAGAACAATCTCTAAGTAAAAATTATCTGTCTCCCAAGCAAAGCATCAACGAACAGTTCACACTTAGTTTTTTACATGCCATATTTCACATACACAGCTGGAACTTGGTTCTTAATAATAGCTTCTAGCTTGACTCCAGTTAAATTCCAAAAACAACAATAGCATGAAAGTACATATTTAGATATTGGAAACCTTGCTGCATGTTCTCACTTACAGTTGTTTGAGTTTATTGAGCTTCTCAAACATATCACCCAACTGGTTTTTGAGCTGATTATGTGCAAGATTTCTGCATGCATAACATGTTGAGAAACAAAACAAAAGTTCCAAGAAAAATTATGAATAAAATAAAAAGAAATTAAGGCACTTTGCTTACAGATGGTTGAGATCACCCATCTGAGAAAAGGAATAAGGCATACTTCCACTGAAATGGTTCTTTGAAAGATCTCTGCATGACCAGATAACAAAATTATTGATGACAAACATATGTACCACTCAAATGCTGGTTACCTAGAAGAAGAAAGATTCTGAACATATTACATTTTTGAGCTTCCTTTAAAATAATGAATCCAATCATCTTTGATAAAGAATGTTATGAAGCACTACTTAATTTTTAACAATAATATAAAGCATATATTCAAACTTTGGAAACCTAAAATTATATTAATTAATATCTTAGCATGATGGAAATCCCAAATCTACCTAATTATGTTTTAGGTGAAAAGGCTCAATAACTCTCAAACAAGAACAATATATGGGAAGTTACTATATAGAACCAATTGCTCTAAAAGCTTGCGCTATTAGGTGTAAACCCATCCCATTAATAAATTATATATCTTCAACACACCATGACATGAAAATCTTAGGGCTTGAAGCTCACCATATCTTGTGCTGGAATAATAATTTAATTAGAAGAATGGGATGGTAAGTATCCAACTCCTAATCACTTGGTCATGTGGTTTCGAATACCAGTCATCCTAAAAGCTTAACTTATTAGGTGCAGCCAAAAGTATTATATTATGGGCTAATGAGATGGTAATGTTATATTTGGCACCATTTTATGCAAATGAATTTGTAACCGAGCTTACTTACATATAATGAGCATTTGGAGGAAGTTGATATGGTATTTCGCCCTTGAGGTTGTTGTTGCTCAAATCACTGTACTATGAAAAATTAATGCATGGCATATAAGTGATGTTCTCTTATCATTAAAGAAAATGAAAAAGAAAGGAAGTGTGTATTTGAAGATCAGGGCCTCACAAGTAGGTAACCGATGTTAAGCTGGACAACTGGTAGCCCATTGATCCAGTAAGTCCCAGATTAGATAAATTTCTATTGAAAGTAAAAATAGTTAGTATATATGTCTCAGCTTCATCGAACCAGTAGTTGATGAATTATTTACATATGCAGATGGATAAATGAAAAGAAACAAAGTCTATATTACATTTCTGTGACAGAAGAACCTGAGCATTTGATTCCTTCCCAGGAGTCGCCACAAGGATCACCTCCACCTGATTTCCAACCACTCAACTTTGAAGGGGAATTTAAGCTGCTATACATTGCATTAAGGGATGAAACTGCAAAAGTTGTTTCATCATTAAGCATAAGAATTTAAATTAGAAACGAGAACAATGAATGCAATCAATAAAGTTTTTGGATACCATCTTGGGAGTTAGTTTTGCAATGAACTGCGGTGGTTGAGACCGCAAGCAAAGCAATCCACAACCTTGCAAGGTTAAGGTTGTGGTGCATTTTCTAGCACAATGGAATGCAGAATAGAAAGGAAAAGAAGCAAGGTGGTGGTGTTTGTCTTTTGATCCAACAGGAGAGAAAAGAATACAACATTGAATTTGGAGCAAACATAACATTCCTTCAACACCAACACAATTTCAAAGACATTTGTTCCAATGCCTAAATTTAGGAGGGAGAAGGAAACGGGTATGAATTACACGCCTTAAAATGCCTGGTAGCGCACTCTTTTTGCAGAGTTGCATCCGCAGATTAAGAATTTTCATTCTTATGTCAAAGATATAAATTCAATTTTATATTCACCAAAATAAATTTTATATTGATGATCGACATGAATATTTTAATGCTCAAGAGTTATGCTTTTTTTTTTTTTTCTTTGATAAGATATTTTTAGTGTAATTTATAACACCAATCCCCCAAATTAGGTAAAACCTTTATATAAACCATTATTATATTTTTGGTTAATCATAGGAAAAAATGGAGAATACTGAATTTGAAAGCACTAATCCTTGACTAGGCTCTTTGAGAAAGTATAAGTTCTTATGATTAACCCTTCCTGTAGTATTCGCATAATATAGATCTATATAGGATTTCATTCTCATGATATGTTCTGACTTCCTCTTTAGTAACTGGGGCAATGAGAACAGCAGCACGAGTTGGGGAATATTTCTCAACAATAGATTTTGCCTTACCTTTACCTCATGAGCTCACAATATATAGTTTGAGTGAGTATGAAAAATCATGTTATTGAGATCTCTAAATTTCACCTCAAAGCTCCCCAAATTTCTAGAACCACAAAAATTCTTCCTGTTTTAAGTTACTCGGCCACTTTCCAATCTAAGGGCACACCTCTGGTTAGTGTGTTTGGATTATGAAATTTGCTTAGATTTAGTGGAATTTGATTTATGTTTAATTAATATTTTTATTTTAAAAAAATATATATTAAAATGAAATTTATTTACATAATATTAATTAAAAATACTTTTAAATGCTTAATTAGTAAAATAAGTATGAACTTTATGTCGTGACATTAATATTATTTATTTCATTATTTTTTAATATATTTGAATTCATAACATATTATTATTACATTTAAAAGTTTTGATGCTAACATTATAAAATATAAAATAAAAAATATAAAAAATATGTACATGAAAGATATAATTTTAATTAACCAAACGTAATATAAATATCTGATGATGGGTTGTCTCTTATTATTATTTTAAAAAACTTGCAACTAGAATAACAAATATTGAATGCAATTATTGAAGTTGAGAAACAAAATTTCAACCATTAGATAAAATAATTATATAGTCAATGGCTCAAATAATTTTTCTATTGTCATTTCCTATTTTTTTTTTCCTGATTTACCCTTAGTGGTCTTCCTTCTCGCATGATCTTAAATCATGGCTAAGGGTGTCAATGGAACCCGTGGGGTAGGTAGTAGTATAATCGTCCTCGTCTTGTAGGACAAAAATTTGTCCCATATCCATGTGAATATCCGTTAAGCAGGTATCCATGAACTTTTTAAATATTTGCAGGTATCTATGGATATCTATAGATAATTATATTTTTTTTTAAATTAAAAGATAAAAAATCATATTACAAATAATTTTAAGTTTGTATTTAATGTTATTGAAATGTTAAAAATAAAAAAATTGATGTTAACTTTTAAACTTGCATTTAACATTAATTCTGTTGATATTAAAAATAATAAAAAAATACAAGATAATTAATAACTTAAAATACATCAATCTCATAATTTAAGAAATTTATTGAATGTGTACCTGCAAGTATGGACACTATCATACCTGTCCCGTCCCATTTATAAATGGGTAGAAAAATACCCGTACCCATTACATGTGGAAATCCATTTAGATTATCTATTTATTATTCGTAGCGAATTTTATCCACGGATACATGCGGATACGAGTATTTTTTCCATCCTTAATCATGGCAGTGGTTATGTAGCTGCCATGGCCAACACTGCATCTCCCATCCAAATCTCCAAACCCAACACACTCACAAGATCTTCAAATTTTCAATCTAGTACCCCATCTCTTTAGTGGCAAAGCTTCTTGCGATATGCCTATCCTTGAGTCAAAGCTTTTAGATTCAACAAAATTTGTTTGTAGAGATTATCAAACACGATAAGGTTGAGGAAGCTTGTGAGAAATGGCAAAATGTGTGTGCTCTGATCTGACTTAGGATATTACGAGGAGCAACGACCATATGTGAGCGTGCGACAAAACATCTTGTGTACTAAAAATAGGCCCTAAATAAATTTGCTGAATAAATTTATTGTGGCGAACTAAATACTATTTTTATTCACAGTATTTATTCTAGTTTCTAGAATATAATAGGAACATCTCATAATAGAGTCAAGACTACAGAACTAACAAGAAAAAAATTTAGAATCTAGAGCAGAAAATGAAAAAATATATGCGAAAGAGTTTTGCTCAGTGTGTCTTTCCCCTTTATTAGAAACGGGGGCTAGGGCATCAGATAAAGAGAATAATGAATAATAAAATTCCAAAAAAATTAAAAAAATCATTAAAATGAGAAGAGAGTTTTGATTAATATGTCTTTCCCCTTGAGTAGATATGGAGACTAGGGGCATCATATAAAGAGAATAATGAGTAATAAAGTTTTGACAATTAGAAAATAAAAATAAAAATCATTAAAATGAGATATTATCAATTTCAGAAAATGTTAAAACTGTCACTCTCTTAAGCACCTTGGCCCATGTACATGCACACGAGTCTCACCACTCTTGTTAACCTTTTTGTATGGCTATATATCACAACTTGATATATAAATCAATCTCCAAAGGCAATACTAGTTAATGTGGGACTTCTTCCTTTTCTAATACCTTATATACAACGATCTGAAACTCGACAATGTCAAATGGAAGCACCAACAATGTGTTGGGAAACAACTACGAGTTAGAAAGAGAGAGTGTGGTGGTGGGAGAGAATGTGGGGTTAGGGTTTAAGGAAAAATTTGGAAATATAAAAATAATTTAAAAAAAGTGGAAAAAGGTGAAAAATTTTCAATCTTCTATTTAAAGAATAAAAGATCAAAATGTGGTAGAACTTGTTCCCAAATATGACAATGTAGTTTTTTTTATACTATTGTGGAGTTGTTTGTTAAACTCTTTACATAAATAAAGTTGTTTTGAAACAAAAATACACTTCTATGGGCTCGTACTGCCACTCCCTCCACATATCATTTCTTTTTTGAGCCATTGAAAGGTAGTTGAGCCTACAACAACTTTGGATGTCTCGCTGTAGGCTTGGCCACCTCTACTTTTTTCAACAAGTGGCACTATGGGCCATGTGATTACATAATTAATTTTTTTTAAGTGAGTGGTGTTGTGGACCTTCCCACTATTTAATTAATATTTATTTTATTTAGAAACATGTGATGTTGTAACACTACATGTAATAAGTTAATTGTTTAGAGTTTAGTTTACTCTAGAGAAAAAGGTATATAAAGTTTTCTCTAAGAACAAAGCCTCATAAGCTAATTATCAAAAAATTGTAGAAAGAAGTTTTAGAAAGAAGGACTTTAGGTCCGTGAGCTCATTTCTCTCCCAAATTTCTCTATTTGATTCCTCTACTCTTCTAGATCACTAATCTCTTTTGTCTTTTCTTGGAATTCAGATTGGGAAGCTTGGTTTTGGTGGATTGAAGTCTACGGGTCAACAGTTCGAAATTCTTTTCCTTCTTCATCTTTCTTGGTTGATTTTGAGCCAATCTCAGGTAAGAGAAGCTAGAATGTTGTTAGATTGGTAGCATCTGAGTTTATAAACTCAGTTGATGCATGATTGGTGGGTGAATTTACTAAATCAAGGGTTTAGCATCTTTGGGGTTTTCGGGCCATTTGTAGGGTTTTGGCTGATTCTGATGCATTGGATGGATTCATGTTGAATCCGGGATCGTTTTTGGATTGTATGGAGTCTATTTGTTGTTTTGTATGGATTGCATGTGGTTGGGATTTTCGGATTTGCAGGTTTCTGTTCAAATCTCGGAGTGCCAACTTTTGATATTGGTGGCAGACACATCTTCATAGCGTTGGGTGAGCATTCATTAGATGCCCAAATTTCATATTCGTGTCAGGCGCAAAGATAAGTGTGTCGGGCGTGAAGTGAAATTGGGGGTTTCTGGATGAATGGCATCGAGCGTGATATCAAAAATTGGAATCAATGAGTCTCTGCTAAGATGGGGTCAGGCGTCAGGTAGGTTACGCCAGGCATGAATGTATTGGGGTCAGGCGTTAAGTAGGTTGCGTCAAGCTTGAGTGCACTAGAGAGTCCTTTGACTCTTTGGGGTCGGGTGCCAGGTGGGTTACACTAGGCATGAGTGCACCAGGGAGTTCTTTGACTCTTTGGGGTCGGGCGTCAGGTGAGTTATGTCAAGCGTGAACGCACTGGTGTTGGGTGTGAGTTGAGTTGGGTCGGGCGCAAATTGTACTTTAGTGTTCGATTTGAGTTATGATGCTTTGCATGGGATAGTGTTTAATGTTGGTTCATATATGTTTGATATATGATGTAAATTGGTGTTTGTTTCATATATATGCTTGGTAATGATATACATGAATGTTAAATATGAAGGATTATGTTTGTATGCTCCTATGAGGATGATATTGATCATGATGGTGGATTGACCATGTATGATGTATGATGCATTATTGCATGTGATGTCTTATGACATGTGTCTAGCCTAGGACTTGAGGAAAGGGAAAAATGTTTTTGAATTGGAAGAGCTCACATAGAGTCTCTTGAGAGTGGTGCTTGGATAGGCTACTGGTTTGGGTGAGTCTTCTCTAATTCCTTAGCTAGTGTTGGAGCAGGGTATCAGGTCGAGGGTTATTCTCTTAACCAAGTACCAGGGAAGGTTGCATGATTCCTAGCAGATAGGCAGTGGGCGAAATCCATAAGTGACTTAGTAATGCATGTCAAGGTCGTGGTAAGCCTATACCCAGTTGTACTATTCCAGATAGTGGAACCGAACTTCCAAGTGTGTAAGTGACACTATCCGAATAAACACTTGGGGGATTTGATATCCCAGTTTGTTGTTGACTCAGTAGGACGCTTCGAGCGTAAAAGCGGCCAAGGTGATTTGGGTAGGATGAAATATCACTTATATTGCTCTGTTGTTAGGGAGATCTCCTAGGTGAATGCGTGACGACGCATTAGATGATTGATATGCATTGATATCTTTCATGTGTTGCTTTATTGCATGATTGTTGTATGATAGAGTGCAT